AAAGTGGGATGTCTCGTCTTTGACGTATATGTAAACATTTGAAAAAACATTTTCAAAATTGATAATAATAAGAAATGTTCCTTATTTTATCACTTATTCTTTTATTATAATAAGTACAGGTCAGAATAAGTGTGATGTTTAATTTTTACATAAATATAGCTGTTATGCTGAATGACACTGCAACATTATTTCACCCATATTTTGACATTTTACTTTCACAAAAGTGATTTGAAACTTTAAAGTAGACACTACTTGCATTTATTATGTTATATGAATATAAAATATATTTTGTAAATTTGATTTGTGGACAGCAAAGTGGGATGTCTCGTCTTTGACATATATGTAAACATTTGAAAAACCATTTTCAAAATTGATAATAATAAGAAATGTTCCTTATTTTATATAGTAAAACAGTTATTACACAGTTATTACTGTTTTTACTGTATTTGTGCTCAAATAAATTCGAATTTTTTCAAAAATATTAAAAACCATACTGACCATGTAGCGTGTGTAGTATATAAAAGTAACCAGATGTAAATAACAGAATCTCCAACCATTTATTTTTTTTATCTGAGATGTTTAGTACATGTTGTAAAGGTACAACATGCTTAAACAAAGCCTTGCTTAACAGCCTGTTAGTTAACGGCACGTATTGATTATTCTGTTAAATTCATCAGGCAGTCAGTTTCCGTGTTCAGTGTTACTTTACATCCCAGCAATTGTCTCCCACAGACAGAGAGCTCGCGTGAGATCACAGATAACAAGACGAGCTGCATTAAGACGTCTAAGCTCTTCTTGATCTTGTTCTTAAAGTAAGACTCTTAGAAGTCAAATGTTTTGAGTTTAGACCATTGCTAATGTAGAAAGACTTACGCTGGACAAAGGAAAATCAGACATGTCACCGCAAGCCTGATTTGCTTTCGTGCCAGTTCACGGGGACAGTACATTTCTTATCACATGTAGGTTAAAGAGGGATTGTTTTGTAGGACTAAATCGAGTTTGGATTCTAACTCAAAGCTGATGTGTTGGCTAGTACACACAGTTGATTGCACACAGCACTGATTGCACACAGCTGTAATTAATCACACATTCCCTATATAACACTCTCTCTGATCCCTTCCCACTGCCGAGTATTATATAGCGTATATCACTCACCTAGCGATAGCTACTCTATGGAGCCCGTTTAGTTTCTCATAGCCTTAGCTTAGTCTTGCCTTGTCTGTTTCCTCGTGTCCTTAACTTCTCCTGTGTACCTCAGATTCCCCCTCTAGTCTTGCCCTATTCTGATATTGTTTGCCCCTGCCTGGACCTTGCCTTGTACCTGGACTTATCCCTCTAGTCTCGCCCTATTGGTCCTGTTTGCCAATCGTAGACGCTAGCTCTAGGATTTATTCTTGTGTCTTGCCTTCTATATACCCATTGCCATTATCTGACCCTTGCCTGTCTCTAACTATGTCTATGAATAAAGCCTTGCATTTCGATCCGCACGTCTCATGTCTCGTCAGCCCCGTAACAATTCTGACTTCTTTTCAACTCTTGACTTTTTAATATACAATTGCAAGTTTATAGCTCACAATTCTGAGAAATAAAGCCAGAATTGTGAGATGTAAACTTGCAATTGCAAGAAAAAAGTAAGAATTGTGAGATAAAATTCAAAAACGGGCTTCCATACATTACATATCAGAACCAGTTGGAACAACTTTTTTTTTTTTTTGTCGTTAGAGCATATGCACCAATAAAGCATTCAAAATACAAAGAGAAACAACCAAGTACAAACCATTTTTACACTGAAACAGAAAAAATTGTATTCCTTGGATCATGATGAATCTGTCAATATCGGTTTTGTCAGGATCAGGCAAAACATATGTCTGCCATTTTGAAATTTGTCTTAAAGTGTAATATTTTTTAAATGCTTTGACATATTGGAGCAAAATTTGGTAGATGCCATCAGCAGCATGTCCTGAAGGTACCTGCAAAGTTTGAAGACTTTTTACATAAAATTCATGTTCTTGATGGCGATGCATTCATTGGTGATTGGTGAAATCTCATTTGAAATTTGTTTGTTGCACTGTGTAAAGAATAAAGCACACATCAAATGTGTGCTTGAAAAGCACAGTTTCCAAATCCATAATCACATCACTCTTCTTTTCAGCCTACAAAGAGAAACAACCAAGTACAAACCATTTTTACACTGAAACAGAAAAAATTGTATTCCTTGGATCATGATGAATCTGTCAATATCGGTTTTGTCAGGATCAGGCAAAACATATATCTGCCATTTTGAAATTTGTCTTAAAGTGTAATATTTTTTAAATGCTTTGACATATTGGAGCAAAATTTGGTAGATGCCATCAGCAGCATGTCCTGAAGGTGCCTGTAAAGTTTGAAGACTTTTTACATAAAATTCATGCTCTTGATGGCGATGCATTCATTGGTGATTGGTGAAATCTCATTTGAAATTTGATTGTTTGTTGCACTGTGTAAAGAATAAAGCACACATCAAATGTGTGCTTGAAAAGCACAGTTTCCATATCCATAATCACATCACTCTTCTTTTCAGCTTGAACTGAAGTATAAAGCAGACCAACGTGTGAAGCAGTGCTATTAAACCACCTGGCTGGCAGTATGCTGGATATTTTTGCAGCTGAGCTTTACTTTCCTTGAAGGAGGATGAAATTAAAACAGCTTTCATTCTGTTCTTTGATTTCTTGCCAGCTTGTTCCAACACATTATTATGTCCATCCTTAACCGGTAGCAGGCGAGGAATGACTCAGCAAGCTGAGCTAGAAAGTGTCTAAGGAAATATGCAGTCAGAGGTCTGAGCATAGAGACACACCTCTCAACTCTCTGCAATGAGGACAGGACTGGTGGTGATAGCAGAGATTTAATCACATATTTTTTAATTCATAAATGGGTGAGAGAGAATAAGGGCATTTATCAGCACAGAGCTAAACCAGTAAGAATGTCCCAGGAGACCCAATCTGGGCCGATGAACCACTATTGTGTCTGCTTCTCAACACAGACAATAAGGGAAAAAATCATCAATAACTGTCAACCAAATTTTTTTTTTCTTTAAATGATGCCAATGTGCTGGCTGATGTAATGTTAATACATATTCACGTTAGCAAATGACAAAACAAATTGTTCAAATCAAATGAACACTCATTCAAAAAAATATTTTAAAATATAAAACACAATATCATTTGAAAAGGTCACACTTTTATCTACTATTGTGTCTGCTTCTCAACACAGACAATAAGGGAAAAAATCATCAATAACTGTCAACCGAATTTTTTTTTTTCTTTAAATGATGCCAATGTGCTGACTGATGTAATGTTAATACATATTCACGTTAGCAAATGACAAAACAAATTGTTCAAATCAAATGAACACTCATTCAAAAAAATATTTTAAAATATAAAACACAATATCATTTGAAAAAGTCACACTTTTATCTGCCTAGGAGTTACAATTACCGGCCAGTGTCTATAATATCAAAACATTATGAATTCAAGTATTTGTTTAAAATATTTTTAAATAAATAATTAAACATTTGTTTATTTTTTCTTATTTTTTTACAGTTTTTTTTTCATAATCCTTCATCAAATTGTCTTTTATACTGATATAAAGAGCCTCACACAGGCGAGTATAAAAATATCAACCAACACCTATCATTTTTTTACTGTAAGTCTCACTGGGTATTTGAGAAAGCTCTGATGGAGTAATTAATAGACAGAAGTGGATGCATTTTGACAGTGAGGAAATAGCTAGTTTAAAATGAAGTAAGTATTTGTTTAAAATATTTTTAAATAAATAATTAAACATTTGTTTATTTTTTCTTATTTTTTTACAGGGTTTTTTTTCATAATCCTTCATCAAATTGTCTTTTATACTGATATGAAGAGCCTCACACAGGCGAGTATAAAAATATCAACCAACACCTGTCATTTTTTTTACTGTAAGTCTCACTGGGTATTTGAGAAAGCTCTGATGGAGTAATTAATAGACAGAAGTGGATGCATTTTGACAGTGAGGAAATAGCTAGTTTAAAATGAAGTTTAGAATGTCTAAAGTGGACTATCGAAATAAAGTGTAACCCAATTAGCTACTGAATTGTATTCCCTTGTGAAACATTCAGTGAGAAATCATGAAAAAGGGACTTTTTATCCACCAGGATTTGACTGGATCATAATGGGATATGATATTGATGTTTGAGATTATTTTTCTCTGCCCAAAGGCCTTGATTACAGAACTAAGAGTTTAAGGTTTGGTTGGTTAGCATGGTGCAGTTAGCCCCTCATTTTTTATTTTTTTTATTTTTCATTCGAATATCACACCTGAATGAATCTTCACAGAAAAACAACAAAGGCTCATTGAAAACATTTCCCTCTACCTAAATTTTTGGGAGAAAAAAAATCCAAAAACCTATACATAAAATTCACTGCAGTTTCCAGTTTGAAATCAACATTAGAAGTGGTAAAACACAAACTACAAGTACAAGTAGCAAAATACTAATTGTTATACCGTTTCACACAAATTATGATTACGGGGCAGATTATCGATTAATAAACACTTATTGTGTGCGGTTTCTTGCACAATGCTATGTTATGACCTCAAAATACTTTTTACCATAGTGCATGGTTTGTAATCAAATTCATTTTGATGTTTGTATCACATAACCAGCTCCATATGTTTGCGGTAGTAAACTTGCTTAGAAGCGCACCCGGTACAGCATTAGACTTGTGATGTGGAGCACTCAGGTGCGAGTCCTGTGAAACACGAGTCACAATAAAATAGCTTAAATACTAGTAGAAGCCAGCTAAAAGGGCTTGGGTGTTTCGGAAAATATATATTGATCTCACGTTTGCTTTGTTAACACTATCGGTTAGGTTCAGGTTAGAGTTTAGTATAGGTGCTACGCAATAGAGCATTAACATTTTATGACATTTACCATTGTGTGATCTCATAGACATGTTGTGTGTGTGTGTCTTTCTTTATAGTGTTGTTGAGTTTGATCTCGGCCGGGGCTCAGACCGAGATGAAGCGGGTTGTTGGGGACAACGCCACATTGCCTTGTCATCACCAGTTCTGGCAGTCGAATGGACAAACACTGGACATAGAATGGCTCCTGCAGAAACCCAATGTCAAACAGCGTGTGGTAAGAGATATGTTGCTCTTTATGCCTTTTCAGAATTTGTCTTGCCTTCTCTCATTGTCTCTTGTTTATTTTATTTCTGTTTCACTTAGATTTCTCTTGTTGTGAGTTTTGTTTTCGCATTATACCTCTCATCATCTTCTATTTTGTCTGTCCTCCTGGTCTCCTTCCAATCACTATGTGCTTGTGAGGTGATTTTTTTTTTGGAAATAACAATGTTTTAGTCCCAACATCCTGCTGAAAATTTCCAGCTGAAGTACTTGCTATGTAGTTTGACCAGAGTAATATTATGTTGCACAAATGGTCCAAAGACTGGGTACACACTATTTTGATAGTCCACTTTCTACTAACTACGAGTAACTTTGCAACTACAGTACATGTCAGCTACCAGTCATTAGAGTATTAGTTATTGTCTGCTTAATATCTACTAACACTTTATTTTGATGGTCCCCAACAGACATGCTTCTGACTATAAGTAACTTTGCAAGCACATGTCAACTTATTCTACTAACTCTAACCCTAACCTAGCAGTCTACTAATACCCTAATGAGTGTTAGTTAACATGCAGTTGTAAATTAATGAGAGTAAGCTGTAACCTGTGAGCTGTGATGTTAATGTATTTTTCCTTTATTTGCATGATTACAAAACAAATGGTCATATTATTATTATTATTATTAGGACTCAAGTACTGAAAGTGGTAAATAAGCACATAGATACTTGCTACAAACTGCATATACTGTATCATACATACATACCTACATACATACAAATAGGTCTAAGTATATATAAGAAAGTCTGGCTATGTGTAGTTCTCATTGAGCCAATCAAATATTACATTGACATTTGTTTGCTCTGCTTAATAGGAAGTCAGCTATTTTGGATTTTGTGTAAATACATTAACTTTTAAATACTCCTCTTAGAGGATTCATGTGATCGTCAGCAAACTCTTTCTTTCTTTCTTTCTTTCTTTCTTTCTATCAAGTAATACTTTTTTAAATGTTAAGTTGTCCCAAGGTTGTGTGTTATTCCTGTTACCAACATATATATATCTTTTTCAAGAAACTATTCCAAATAATAATAATAATACATCGAAACGTGATCATAATCCTTTAATAGAAAAAAGTGAACTCTTCTGAGACAAGTGAATTAATCTTTTTTATTGTGTTTGTCAGTAGAGGACAAGCATAAAATCTCAACCTTGTAAGCTACCATGTATCAATCTCTCAGAACACCCTGGCAACCACCCAAAACACCCTAGCAACTGCCTAGTTTTGACTGTCTCTCAATCTCTATCAGTGATACAGAAGTCGCAATGACTGCCTACATGGTTTCACAGTCTGAGGCTTGTGAGCACAGTGCTTTTCTCTGCATTCCTGCCATTCTGTCACAGGTCTAAATCAGCTTTTTTCTACACATCTCTCTTTGAAATACACACCCATCTAGTATGCGCGTGTCAGTATACCTAACAGATGCTTCACCCATCTCTCTTCTCCCTCGCTCTCGTAGAAACACATTCAGATAAGAGATTTGTCTTATCTGCCTGAAGAGAGAATCTTTCACTGTGAAACTAACATTGTTTGAACATAGCTTTGAGTTTAGGTATCCGTTATATGTCAGCGTGCCATAATTCATCAGGGGGAAGTCAATACGTGTCAGTCAGGCGATATACTTTCAGATTAATTTAATTATCTGATTGCAATAAGGATTTTGATTCCCCCACATAACCTAAAGAGATCTTTTCCTTTGTTTGAAAGTCAATGCAGATCTGTTCGTAATCGGTTGAGATTTCATTTCAGAAGACAGACAGGCCTAAAAAGAAACTTGCATCAGAGTCTTCGAAGCCTATGGGACGGGGTTCCCCATCACATGTAATATTTAACGAAAAGCTAACATTTGAGATGCCATTAATTAAAATCAAATGTCTGAAAATTTGATTAGGAATCACACGGAGCCCCTGGCATAATGAATAAGTCATTCCTTTGTTCCACTGTAAGGCCTGTGTAACTAGAAGTGTTTGGCTTGTGAACATTTAACCACAGCTTGTTTAGTAATGTGTTGTTGACTCTATGGGGTTTTGTTCACAAGAACGCTGCTGTTAAAAGCAATGGGTCAAGGTTTACATGGTTAGCGTGGCCTAGTTAACCCTTGCTGGTAGATGCGTAACTACACCATCTTTTTCCACTGACGGCCTATTTGAAAGTAGATTTTTATTATTATCTCTACTCACTAAGGCTGCATTTATTTGGTCAAAAGTACACTAAAAACAGCAATATTTTAAATTATTTTTACAATTTAAAACTAGATAAAAAGTTTGTCAAGACAATGATATTGTCTTGAGAAGGCCTGAACTGAACGTTTGAAGTAGTTTAAAGCTTGAACTTTTAAGGTTTTGAAGACTACCCAGTATATCAGAACTAAAATTATGTTGCATAGACAGACAGACGGATGGACGTATTTTGTTTATAAGGTCTTCTGGGTGGTTGCTGCTAGGTGGTTGTTAAGGTGTTCTGGGTGGTTGCTAGGCAGTTGCTAGGTTGTTTAGTGTGGTTGCTAGGTGGTTACTGGGTGTTCTGGATGGTTGCTAGCCAGGGTGTTGTGGGTGATTACAAGCTGGTTGTTAGAGTGTTGCTGGGTGGTTTTTAATATGTTCTGGTTGGTTGCTAGGAAGTTGCTAGGGTGTTTATGGTGGTTGCTAGGGTGTTGCTAGGTTGTTCTGTGTGGTTCCTAGAGTGTTGCTAGATAGTTACTGGGTGTTCTGGGTGGTTGTTAACCAGGGTGTTCTGGGTGGTTGCTAGGCAGTTGC